TGTGTGTGTGTGTGTGTGTGTGTGTGTGTGTCTGACCTGATGTGGCACAAGACCCAGAGAAGTGGGAGGTTCATTCATTCGGTCGTCACTGCTACTTGCCACTGCATAGCCGCTGGATGGAGAAAAACAATTTTTCTGTTTTCGTTTATGTCATTTATATATTCCTTTTTCGTACATGAATGTAACCAGAGCTTGTGCAACATTTATTTGGACAAATGACAGAACAAAAGGCAGCAAATGTCCTTTAACAACAAAAGCCAGGTTTAAAAAAAAACTCTACTGAGAACTAAGAGGTCTAGTTCCCTCAATCTTGCCAAATTAAAAGATTTGACTATATGTTTATTAATAACTGTAATACCATGTCTCACACTGAGCTACGACTGGTTCTGTAAGGTAAGAAATGTCAATCAAACTGCCACAAAATGGATCCCTAGGTGACAATTTTCTAAAGCCTGTGATTGTTAGAAAAAGTAAAAGCCTAAAAGAAAGCCACAGTAAGGTCCTTAAAAACGACTAAAGTAATGGACGACAGAAATAAACACAGCTATGAAAGTGAAAAACTAGGAGATCCGGTTGCAAAGGAAGGAGCTGCACAATGACAGAGGCACAGAAACTACAGTACATAGAAACTCTCCTGTTCTCTGTTGCCTTATAAGCTTTTTATCCAGGATAGGCAGAAGAGCTCTGTGGAGGCTTATAATATCAAAACACTGAACACAGAAAAATGGCTGTTTTATCAGCCTGAGCAAGCAGACGCTTTAACACGACTTTCACCATAACAGGCAAACACAATTACATTTCCACAAAGACATACACATGCACATGAACACCCTTCATTGGTAAAAAGACTTATAAAAGACAAAAACATTGAGCTACTACAGTTTGCCAAGTGAAGATCGGAGTTGAGTCTGTTGCCGTATTACAGCTTTTGAAGGTGAATTGTAAGAGAAAGACTAGAAATGACAACAAAGTTCCTACAGTAAACTAAAGTCAAATTTATGGAACTGGGTGAAAACCTAATTGGGTAAGACCTCTGCTGTTTGCAGCATGAAGCTTACTGAAACAGCGCATAGACACCATTTTCTTAAGTTTTACAATGGGAGTGAGGAACCAGCTTGAAGCTCTGCTGAGAGAATGATAAACACATAAAGGTGATCAGGGCCGCTCACTCAGGCGAGTGTCTGAGCTCGCAGAGGGATCTTTAATTTGTTTGTGACATTAATATGGAGTCAGTTGGACAAAACTAAAATCAAGAAGAGGATCTAACATGAAACCTTCAGAGGACCTCGTCAAACACACAAATATCTCAAATGTATATTTGCTAAGAAGTGAACATTTATCAGCACCAAAGGCAAAGTGGACTTGTTGCACGGGTAAACATCAGAGTAGCAAGAGAGTAGCTCCATGCAGCAGCTGTATAAACCATACTGAGGTTCACCATAACTGACAGTTCATGTTTCAACGTTACCATAAACCTGAATATGTGTATTTTGTTTCTGTGGAACATCACACTTCTAAAGATCTGAGCAATTGTACAAAAAGGTATATCTTTCTCTTATTTGAAACAACAGGCTTGATTTTCCATTCTTACCTTTCCTTCTCTGTACTATGCATGTATGGCCGGACCAGTACTAGTACGACTATGATTCCTAATTATAGGTCTGAGCTGCCTTACCCTTCACTGTGCTGCAGAATGGACACCATCATCTCAACAGCCAGGGCTCCAGCAATCATGGCAAGACCTGGTCTACTGACTGTGCACTGCTGATCCAGAGTCCGATCCCTGGTCGACTGTAAGAGAAAAAAATTATAAATAAGAACAATGACTGCAACAAAACAGCTGGTGATACATAAATAATCAAAGACAGATGATGGGTAATCTACCATTTTGAAACTTTCCATTTTAGATTTGAGAACATTTAGAATTTACAGAGAAGCTGCGCCTCCAATTCAAATGTTAATATTTCTCTAATGAAAGCAGGCTGGAGCTAAATGACATTTACAGCACAAGTCAGAGCTGAATAGTTTCCAGTGACAGACTTCAATAGCTGTTGAACAGCTTTCATAAATTACTCATATCAGAAGGGCAGGAGGAAGAAAAGGAACAAAAAGAGAAAGAAACAAGTGTCAGAGTACAAATAACAAACACAGGAAGAATGTGGATTGCAAGAAAAATGTGATTCTCACAAATGTACTTATTTTGTCAGGAATCCCACTTTATGTATTATTTTGATTACATGATGGCTGCAGAACAAGTTTTGATTACCTCATACAACACCAACCTACACTTTGGCTTTGTTTTGTGGTCTGAAAATATTTGTCTCTTTAGCTTGATGGAGGCTCATTCCTCGACAATGTTCAGCTAGATGCTGACTTTTTCTGTGTGGTTCTGTGCGGTGAGTCAACAAGTAGGTGTTTGATCAATTCATATAAAAAAGTGATTAGAAGCTAAATGAGGCTGAATTTAAGTTGAAGAAAATATCTAAAACAGTTCTCCTTGTGTCATTCCTATGTTTTCACATTAAGTAAGCGAATGAGCTCAGTGTTTGCTTGATATCTGTGAGTTTTTCTTACATCTCCTGGTGCCACAACATCGTTGCAGAAGTAGCAGCCCAGCTTGTGTCCTGGGATGTTGGAGAACAGAGAGGATCCTGGGCAGGAGGGCGCAGAGCCGGCTGGTGTGGAGGATGAAGAGGAGGCAGAAGAACAGGAAGGGGAAGAGTCTGCGCCTGCAGAAACATTCTGACTGACAGGGGGTTTCTTCAGCCCATGGCGCATCACCACAAACGTGTCGAAGCCTAAAGCAGCATTCACCACCAGCTGGAATCACACAATAACAAAAATGGTTAATCGGTAATAAAAGGTAAAGTAGCAATACGAGATCTCATATAGCTTTGGCCTGAATAAAGATGTTTTCCATTTTGTCCAAAGCACACACAGCACATTACAACCAAATCAAATAACCTAAATGGCCTGTTTTACACAAACAATAAGGGAACAGTGTGTTGAATCATTTCAGGAAGCAATGACAAAAGCATTAATAGGCTCTTTAGAATGTTGAAAACATCTAGACCCTCAGGGAAGCAAAGGAAATAAATTGTAAAGCCAATTTGTGTCTGAAACATACCCACGGCACAAGTGCAGGCCATGAAGGAAACCTAATCAGCAGCCCTGAAAACACTTACCAGCATGTAGGGATACAAGAGCTGCACCAGTAATACCACTGGAGGTATTACAAGATCCTGACACAATGTTCAATAACTCCAACATTGCCTGGCAACTAATACAATTCCAAGAGATAAACAGAAAATGTGGCCAGTGTTTTCAAGCTATTTCAATTTCCTGGACGATGGCCTCAAAATTTGAAGTTCCAGTTTAAAGTCAAACAAGAATAATGTCACAAAGTCATAAATGTGTGTGTGTCCCCTCCATAGGGCTGTGTTGAAAGTTTAAATCTTGATTTTATTTTATTTACCCTTGTACCACCATAAAATAGGAATAACTTACAGTACATTTGTCTGGTGGCCAGGAACAAGACTACTGGTCAATACTAACCAGTACTAAACTAATACTGCTGGTTTTGTCAAGGTCACCATATTAACAGAGAAATCTGTCAGGCTCTAATTGATGATTTGTCGATGACGTGTTTTACCTGGACACACATCTGTTGCAGATTCAAATATTTTTTCAAGATCGATTTATTTGGTTATTGTGTTTTTTAGTTTACAATTAAAAGGTAAAATATCAAGCCTCAATCAAATTATCTTGTGATAACGCATCACAGGAATCATCCAAGATAAAATAAATTAATATAATATGTATATATATTAAAACTATTTATCTGTATTGAGTTTTCTTTACTCTGTAATTTTGGTATCTGCATCATCCCCCAAACACCAATATGTGTCGGCTCCAGTCTAAATTACTATCGGACGAAATACATTGTGAACATAATTTATAGTTCTGTTTCTGGCCAATTGATGGATGTAAGTCTTTCTTCAACAACAATATACTAACTTTGTCTGTGCGCAGTTTGGTGCTGGAAGCTATTGTTCACTCTGTCAGTGTTTTTAAATAAGGTTGACAAGAGTGGTGACACTGCAAACTACAGTAACACTGAGTATTGTATTCACACAACTGTATGTGCGTTCGTCACCAGAAGCACCGACTTTCATGTCACACATCATCATGTGATTCATTGTTTATGTAGACAATATGACAAGTTCAGCTTCGATTACTCCCACATATAACCCCAATGCCACCAGTGAGCAACTGTTGTGTTAACTATACAACTTCCCCTCCTACCTTCCTCTTGCTGGCAGCTATCACTGTCGGCAGCCAGCGGCTCTCCCTCGTATCCATCAGTAAGAAAACCACATCATGTTCGGAGATGAGTTTCTCCAGCTGCTCGACATCCCTCTGGGCCTGGGCCTGAGTGTCCGGAGAGAAATTCACTGGGTGACCGGGCATGGGGATGCTCATGTTGTAGCCCTCTGAATTCTGAGAGGAGGGGAAAGAGAGAGAACGGAAGGAACAAAGACACAGCTCATAAAGTTATCATAAATATCACTACATTTCATTTTCACTTTTGTAGTGAATATGTGGATATTGTTAAATTCAACAGTATCTGTGCAGTTGTAAACATGAAACCATCATAACTCAATTTTAACATTTAATCAAAATTAAATTTGAACTTAACTGGGAGATTTTAAATGAGTAGAGCAAATTTTGTTGGGAATGTTTCTCTTTTTGATACAGATGGCTCATCACCTGTAGGTGGCACCGGAGTCAAAAATCTTTTATTTGCAGCTTTATTTCCTAGGTGGTGTATATAAGTATATCCACCTCTACACAACTAATCCCCTGCTTTTGCTGCTCACTTTATGTAAAACCTAATGTCTAAATCAAGCTCTTACATATAATATGTCCTGACATTGGTTTCTATAGCTACAGTGTATAAAATGCAATTAAATGTGTTTCAGTGTTATAATTACCTGGGTTACAGAAAAAAGGCCAGAAGTTAAAAACACTTTGGTACACTGGGGGGAGCAGGGGGTAATCACACCATCACCACAGTGTAGATGTGGCTCTCCAGTAACATTCAATTATAGAAGAGAAAAGGAAATTTTAAATCACCACTTCTAATTTCACAATGAAAGGAGAATCTTAAAAAAAAAAACACAGTATGGTGAAATGAAAAGGATAAATTGGGGCTTATTGTCCAAACTTTATTACTGTGACTGTCACACCTTGCAAATGTCAAGAGAAACTTCACTGTCAAGAGACAGATGGAAAATGGCAGCGATAAGGTGTGAGATCTTAATAAGAAGAAATGCCACTTTTACTGAATCAGTGGATATTTAGCCTTCGCTCTCCACATTTCAAGAGTGGGAGCTGTTAAACAAGTCTTGAATTTACACCGCACTGTGACGTCAGTGTTGCTAAGCCTTCACAGGATGAAATCAGGCCACAGAGATGATCACATTCCACAGTAAACATCCTCAACCTTCATCTTGAGAATGACGAAAAGCCATAATAATTTGGATTGTGGAAAAATCCTTCCCCGCAAAAGAACAGAAGGTAGGCAAGTTGCTGCCTACACAACAAACTTAAATGTGACTCGACACTACTTGTCCACAGACAAAATACGAAATCTGCTGCTGACCTTTTCAACGGATCATCTGGTTGTGAGGATCACAATTCAATTAATGCAATTCTGTGCTTTCAGCTCAGTGTTCAAATCTGTCTTTACACTGGCACCTGATGCCCTGTGTTTGTAGAAAAAGGAGCATGAGGTAAAGAGAAGCCGACAATCACCTCCCACACTGATAAAAATAGAAAGGGAGGTATGGTTGCAGGTGGTATAGACACAAACAAAGTGTCCAGACACATATTGTCAGCATGGGCACATCCATCAAGTGTGACACTTCACTTCTTCACTCTCCATTTTATTCCCCATTCAACCAGAGAGAGGTTTGGATGCCAAGTTGATGACATGACAATTATGTGTCTAGGTGGGTGGGTGGGTGTATGTGTGTGTCTGTGTGTGTGTGTCTGTGAGTGTATGTGCATTTTATTAGAGGAGAAATCACAGGTCTTCTTGTCTCAGACACTATAATCCTGACCTATTGTAAATCATTTCAGGAACAACTCATTACCAAGTTGTGATAACGGGGTCGGAAACTTTAAAGTGGCTTCAGTCTTACCACATTCAAGGAAAAACTACATCTCACCCCTGCAGTCAGACAGTGAATGACTCAGACTGTGAGATGTAACAGATGAGGAGACCGGCAAATTTGGGAGAGGAGAAACTACTCTTAGTCATTTTCGTTCAAGCTCAAGCTGAGTCGAAGCCCAGAGGATGTGAACATTTCATTACACAGACTGTGCTCTACACTTTCCTGACAGAGGACTGCCCACATGCATTCAAAGGGATCCTGACATGCAAAACATGTTATGTTAATCCACAACATTATGATAAGATGACAAACAATCAAGATAATAAATGAAAAAAAGGATTTAAAAAATCACCAAGTCTCTAAAAAATCTGTTAAATCACACATGGGAGTCAAACCCCAGTGTCCAAGGTGAAGGTGCAGTGCTTGACCCATTAATACTCTACAATCTCTTCATCATTACCTCCAGCGAGGAGGCTGTGTTTTTCTGTTTTGTGCCAAGCAGCATTTAATAAGGATCAGCGGTGCATTTTGTTCCATATAACAAGCTTTTTACAGGAAAAGTACAAGGCACTTAAAGAGCCATTGAACGTTTGCACTTTCCATACAGGTGTAAAGAGCCTAATATCTGAAGTGTTGCTATTTTCATCCAGATGCAATTACATTTGTTATTTGTGTAAGATGTGATTAGGTCATATTTTCTGAGTGTTTACACTGTTGGGTAGAGTTTATTAGAAACTATGAAAAATTTACTGAGATGCAAAACAAAAAGACTTTGGCCATGAAATCGCCTACAAAAACATATCGACCAAATTATTGAATAATTACTTTTTTACCACTGGCGACCTCCCTAATCTTGACCTCACACGATACTGTTGTTAAGAGACGGGTGCCCTCTTTCACACCCAAACAGAACCCTGATGACTCTTGTTGAGGGTTAAGAACAGAGGATGTTGCAACTTTTTAAGCCCTATGAAACAATTGCAGAGTAGAGAAATCCCATCATTAATTAACAAAGTAATTAAGGCATGAGTATTAACATGCAAGTCAGACAGCTCCTCATTATCTGTTTGGTATGTCCATTGCATCTCAGACACAATTACTCAAAAAGGAATATGATAACATAAACAAAATGTTATAATTTCATTTGCAGACATTGTAAAGACACTGTTCATTGTCTTTACAATGTCACAGGAAGGAAAGACATACAAGATGATATAAAAATATAATTTCACACAGTTACAGCATTTTATTTGAATTTAAGAACTCACCACCCCTGGAAAGATTTTGGTGAGTCGGTCGACAGCGGCCATGGCTTTGGACTTCCCTCCTCCGAGACAGTCTTCAAACTCGTAGAGCGGCTGCCGAACTGGATTAGAGTACGAGATCTTTGCGTTGTCTACAAATGTGATGTGTCTCACTCCCCATCCCTGGAGAACAAAGGAAAAACACATTCTTATTTTTAAAAAGATTATTTTGAAATAACACAATTTATTGTACTGAACCTCTAATGGAGCATTTGTGAGCAGACTGTATTGTGTAAAAACAAAATAGATGCTTCTCAACGTATTAAGATATTGCAAAGCAGTTCAAGTGACATTAAAGCAAATTACAATAACGCTGAAAGTCTAGATTCATAACTATCAGTTTGTGATGTATTGAATACCTACAGGTATTGTCTTTTTATTTCTGAATATAATAATTTAAGTTTCCTTCCTTAAGTTACTGGAGAGCATTACATGACAACTGCCCAGGAGAACAGATGTTCATTTATGTTTCCAGGAAATTAATTTCAATACAAGTATTTTGAGAATTTGATGTAAGTAACGAAAGAAAGACGTTAACTATTTACAGTACACAGCAAGTGTCATGGTACACTTGTTCAGCCTGTGGAAATCATGCAGGGCCTGGGGGTGGCCAAGGAGGAGATAAGATTTTTGTTTGTTTTTCTTTTGTAGTTTGACTGCAGATCAGTCTGGGAGGAGGGCATGCGTCCCCTCAGTCTTGAGACAGTGAAGTTTCTCCATCACCAGAGCAAGTTACAGAGATCAGTTATGTTTTTCTCATAAGAGCTGTGACATTACTGACTCACAAAAATCTGTCAGAACCTGTAAACAGTTGGCAGAAGTTCACTGATAATCAGCTGTCACAGGCCGCAGCAATCATTTTCAACTGTCTTAACGCTAACATCTTTAATAAAATGATAGGTTGGATGGTTTCCCAATATGTTCTTATTCTATTTTACTTTCCAAGGAAGCCATCCCTCTCATTTTCTGTCTGTTGGGGTTTTTTGTAATCTGCTCTGAAGCTTATGTTTACAGATTTATTAATGCTTTAATCTTGACCAGCCATTATCGTTAATTTATTTACACCTTTAGCTCTCCACCAGATGTCTGTGACAGAAGATGATTTTGCTAAATATCCAACTAGTTGAGCACCTACTTAAATCACTTCACTGATTCAGTTTTAAAGAGTCTGAGGAAAATTAGTGTCACTCAGTGTTAAGTATCTATTTAAGTGGTGATGAGCTGTCCCACTGGTTTGAGACACTGTGGAGGAGTTTTGCACAGAAAAAATTCTATTTAATCAATGCTAATATTTTTTTTTCCAAAAACACCAATATTCTGTAATACTTTTCGTCAGACTGAATAATTCATAAATTCTTATATTTTTGACATTAGTCTAATAAGTTATTGTTACGATAGCGTAGACAATCTGTGCATCCTGGTTGTACAGCAGATAAAAACATCCTGTGACAGAGAAACAGAAGATACATACAAATTGAAAAATTACAAACTATTATCAAGCTCAAAACAGTCTGTCAAATTCCTGTTTACTTTCCACCCTCTGTCCCTCCATCACTTTGGTTTTCCAACCTTACCATCAGAGTCCTGGCTACATTGCAGCCCAGAGTCCCAGCTCCCAGAAGAAGACACTTTGTGTTGACCACCTTCTCCAGGTCCAGCGAAGGAACTAGCCTCCATCTCATGAGCTTCAGGTTCAGATCCACTGAGGACTCTGCAAGTCTGGAGACACTTAATCAATATATCTGAAGACATACATTACCCTTGACATCCATTCAGTAGTTATATAGTTTGTCAGATCCTGTATAACAGTCAGAGGCAAGTCCAGTCACACCCTGAGTTTTACCTTTTAGGGTCCATGCATTCACTTAGGTTCACCATCCTGGGTCCCATGGCACCCTTAGGGTTCTTCTCCCAACCTACGCTCTTAGGACATGCTGTGATAAACACATTTACAGGAGAGTGTAAGCAAAAGATGTGCTGCAGAGTAACGCAGCAATGAGACAGGTAGCATCAGTGCACCCTCTACACAAAAGTCTAAACACCGTCACTCTTATTTCTGCCTTCACCCCAGTACAATGACAGTGTATCAAATTTGTGGTGCTCACACAAACAAATTCCAGAATCAATATCCCTGTTACTTAGAAAATAAAGAAATAGTCCTATGAGAACCATTTATAATTAAACACAGTGTAATTGGGTAAAATTTACCCTTTATTTATACGCATGACAACTTGACCGATGACATATACAACTATTATAACCTCCTCATGGTTGCAGGCCTCTGTAAACTCCCTAAGTAGCAAGAAATATTCTACCTTATCTCTTTCAAAACAATCCCAAATACATTTGTGCTAAACCATCAAGTTTAGAATGAATTTTTATTGCATGATCACGTCAACTAAGTTTATTTAAAAGGCTCGATGTGCTGAAGGGGTAGACTGAGGTAAATAAAGACACCTCATCTGAACCCAACAGCCTTTCACAATTTACAGGGCTACTCATTTTGCCACCCTGCCATTACCATTTAAATTACTTTCATCCCTTTTCAGAAAACAGACGCAGAAATAATGGAGAAGCTGTGAGAGAACAGTGCAGCTTCAATAGGAAGCAGCCTCAGAGGAGAGTGAACTAAGACTGAAGATTCACATCATTTACAATAGACATTCACAAAAGTGCACACACGTTCAGATGGAAGAGTGTAAATAGATGAACAGAAAAAGACACTGTGGCATTCGAGGATACCACCGGGGTTTAAGCCAGAGACAAACCAGTTGTTTTTCGGTGTACTTTTTATTGCAGAACGTCAAACATAAATTGACAAAACCTACAGTTGAAGGAGTCTTTGTGTTCCTCTCGTGTTTCTCTCTGGCAGCTCCACTATACTGCCTTTTGAATCCAGGTTAGCCAAGTTGGTTAGCCAAATGTTCTCAGCTGTACCAACCCCCTGTCCCTGGTTCACCTGGAGGTGCTCACTGAGACACCTCAAAAGACATGTGAGAATGCAAATGTCCTAGTCAGTTGCTCTGGACATTTTCTGGAACTTTTCCTTACAGCCCTCTGGTAAAATGTCCGTGGAATGTCAAAGTGAGCCCTTGGGAGAATGTAGCTGGCAAGCGATCATAGTGAAGATGTTTTAAACGAGACAGAAACAAAACTGAAAAAAACCCCAAAAGAATACAAATATCTCAGGATGAAAGAGGTGACATACACGTAGCAGATGCCAATGAAGACAACTTGGAAAGACGAGGAGATTCAACAGCATTTGGTGATAAGGGCCAAGCCGGTTGCAAAAACAAGCATCTTTCTGCAGTGGAATTTATATGTCATGTCCTGCCAGTAATGTTTCTGTTGTAGTGAACATGTCTGACCTGGACAATGTCCGGCTTTGTTCTTCACATTGGAAGAGAAAACTTCTGGAAATGTCCGACATTTTCCAGATTTCATGTCGGAAACATAAAGTGTCACATGCACAAAGACAACCACACGCAGGAAGGAATCAAGATTACCTGAGTTGACGGGAAGTTCAGGTAGTTTGACTTGGAAGATTAAGCTGTGCTGAATGGAGCGGCTTCCCTGAAGAGTTCTGTCCCTGAAACACAGCACCTCCACTGTGTCCAGCTTAGACCCCCTGACAGACACAAATAAAATGTGCATATCAAACAGTGAAAATAACACAAATAATGCAGAGATTAAATTAGAAACTACAAAAATACAATCTAGAACATAATGTGTGACTTTGTGAAATTCTCACTTAAATATTAAAAAACACTGTAAGTTAAAAAGAACAATATTCTCTCTCCCTCTGTGGTAAAACGGTGAATGAGCACTCACAATTATACAATCAACACATACAAGCATCAATTTTCCCTAATATGGTGCTAAAAGACTTGGGCGGACTGCACAGTCAAACTTGACTCAAACAAGCGAGACATTGCGGCTACAATGAAATTCTATCTTCACCCATCTGAGCCAGTATCAACAGCTTATGTTTATCACTGATAGAAAGTGTAGTCAAGCAGAAGATTGACTGAGGTTTGTATTGGATAAAAACTGCCTCCGACTGCAGCGCACGGAGCCCCTGGTATCACAGAACACTATTGCTTAACTGGCCTCAATGGGAATTCCTCATTTGAATAATTATCCAAAAAAATCATTTTTAAAATAGCAACACGAGCGCCAGGAAAAACTAAGATCTCTGGGGAAAAGTGGGACAAGAAATGAGCGGCGTACAAAGTGTTTTCAAACTGGCTGTTTGATAATTAATCACTTTCTTAAATGACGATGATGATGCCGTGTCGCAAGTGATGTAACAATGTTTTTATCTCGCAGTGATCCACAGAGTTCATTTCAAATCTGGCAACAGCTCATTTATTGTTTATACTACAACGATACAGAACAACCTTGGCACCTGAAATAACTACTTTCTATTTTTAAGCATGAACTCAAGACACATTAATTTACATTCACATTAATTTTAGCTTGTACTTTTTTCCTCTTGACCTTGTGTGTTTATGTGCAAAAAATGGAGCTTTGAAAATACCTGCCACTAAAATAAGTGAAAGTGATTTTTAATCAAACGGCAAATATAAGAAATAACACTGACATGGTAAAATAAACAAAAAAACGTTTTGATTGTGTCCATCAAGGAAAAGATCCATTATTCTGCTTTGATAAAGCTGTGGCTCAGATGACATGATATGGACAATATGGTCTTTGAGCACAGCCTTGTTTTTAAAATAAGCATCAATTACTTTTCCAAGTATTGCAGGAGGCCTGCTAAATTAATTATGCACATAACACTATTTTAGGCTCTAATCAAGATCATTGGACAACAATAATGTTTAATTTATTTCGCCCCAATTTTGCATCAATGATTTGGAATTGTTTTCTATTTGCAATCAGAGCGCACAGTTTGTCTTTATGCCTTCCATCTACCATCAGATTTCCTCTGTTGAGAATTAAGTACGTTTTCATGGCACATCAACTCACAAGAGAGAAGATGCTGCATGCGACAAGATAAACACGCGGTCAACGACTGATGTGGGATTAAAATGCTTCTTATCTTTATCTCTATGTAAATATTTGAATATGCTTGAATAACATAACATTTTTCGACTTAATGTTCAGCAATAAATCTGATGACTTGTACAAACTTCCCCACTGGTGTTCTGAAATGTTTCTTCTGTGAATATTTCAGCTAAATAAATCTCTCCACTAGACAAAAGAGCTTCCATGTTCCACCAACATTCCTGCAACAACATGACTCAGTCAGTCATCACTGAGCGACATCATAATGTATTTCACTTATACTTCAGAAATGTCGACACACACTGGACTTTAAAGGTCCAGTGTGTAAGATTTAGTTGAAAGGGAAATTTAAAGTAGAATAATTCTCATAATGTTTTCACTAGTTTGTTTCATCTAAATTGTATGAACTGTAGTTTTCTTTACCCCAGAAAAGACAGTTTATATTTAAATACTTTATGTTTACATCGAGGGGACCCTCTCTACGGAGGCTGCCATGTTTTTTACATTAGTCCAGACTGGACAAACTAAACATCTTTTGAGTTTTAATGACAACTGTAGCTCCCAGTTTCTTTTTCATTTCTGTCCAGTGACAACAGCTGCTGTCTAACATAACAATAACCATTTGGAAACGGTGCAGAAACATAAGGAGACAAGTATGCACAGTGCAGACGTGCTGTTATTATCTGGATCTTGCCTTCCTGGAAAATTCAGGGTTTAAGTTTTGAAAAATCTTTCAGCTGAGAAAATAGTCAATGACGTCATCACATCGCAACGGCTGCAGACAAGACAGACTAGATCCCAAAATAAACTGTGGAGAGTCACACCAGTTTGTAAGATATTGTGCAGAACAGACCTTGTTTATCAGGAAAATGTACAGTTCTGTAAACAAGTAGCACAATCTTAACAGTTGGTGATTCATCAAGGAACAAGTGGAATTCATTATGTTTATCTCTTTGTTGCTAAACTCTTAAGAAGTCACTGTTGCTAAGCAGTGGCCAGACTTTGCTTTTTCAGTCTGTGTGTGAAAAGAATCTCGTAATATTACGTTTTGATGAGATGATACTTTTCAAACTCGTCACAATGAACTCTGGGGGTTGATTTCTGTATCCACAGTCCCACTGAAGTTTGGGACCATTTCAGCTCAGAGTCAGGAAATCGGTTAGGAAGGGATTTCCTGTCTTTCACTTTGTGCCTAAATAAATTAGACAGTGTGGGCCTAGGGACATTCATAGTGAAATTCAGGACAACTTGTATATAAATGCACAATGAGGACCAACATTTTCTACAGAAAATGCACACATATGCACGCACACACACACACACACACACACACACACACAC